GACCTGAAACCGGTCGTAAAAATAAAATAACTAGTGGAAATTAGACAGAAGTGTTTTCATTCATTTCATTGAAGTGATCATGAATATTCAAATATTGAATTTCGGCGGGTATGCTGGTATGAGATATAACAATTTTGAAGCCGGGCCTGATAGTTGCAATTCTTCAACCGAACTGATTTCATTGAAGTTGAATCATCTTTAATTATGATCAAAGAATTACCTAGAATACCGAAATATTTTTGAATCACGAGAAACAAAATTCGGTCGAGTAAACCATGGTCGATTGGAACCTGAATAATCGAACGTTTCGTTTGCTACTGCGGAAGACATCATCAGTGGTATTTGCAATGACTATGAGGATAAATGTTACATATCAAAGTCTCAGTAACGACTGACTGATTATTTTTTGTTCAACGATGAGTTTCATAAGTGAGAGTATCACTTGGCAGACTGATGACTTAATGAAAATTAAGTTAGGTTAGGTAAATGATTGAATGTATGCAGAGAGCATGCATACCACATGTTATTTCAATACTTAATGAAAACATGGAGTACCAGCGATCTAAATTATGGCAAGTTTTCTTCTTTTCAAGAATTTCCTTGGTAGGCATTTTCACTGACTCAATGGAATCGAAAGAAAAAAACCTTGTTCATCCAAAGTAAGCAGCTTTTACTGCAATATTTTTAAATGAATCTGAGTAGGTACGTACTGAACATGACTCAATTGGAACCGTTTTCGAACAGATAGAATCACCTCATGAAATCAGTCTGAAGGTGAGCTACGTAATTGATTTCGGCGAGAAGCTGCTGCTATACAGTGGAAACAGTTGTTTTCCGGCAGGCATTCACCAGAGGTGAAATATTCAAAATTCATTTGAACTATTAATTTTCTTAAAACATCTATCTGTACATCTTGACACAGTCATCAGATATATTTTATTTTAACCTTATGAAGATATCTCACGAAAGCACCTCATGAGATCATTGTGAATTGAAAAAAAAATAGAAATAAAACCTGTTGATTGAAGGCAAGACAAATAATTTCAATGTTTATTTAATCACATTGCAAGAGCAGTGGTAAAAAATATATGTAAACAGTGGAATTTAATAAGTATACACCATATTCATTCGAAGAACGTTCTCGAGGGTTTCCAAAAGTTTGATACGTGATGATTTGAACTAGCTAGTTATGATATACAAAGTGGTCCAACGAAAAGTATGCACCTTGCTTTTCTCCTTTTTTTGTAACTTAACGCAAAAATGCTCGGACAGGTCAATTTTGCTTTTGAGGGGGACACATTTAAGATGTATTTCTCTACCTGTGCCTTCAACCCCCTAGCGAGGGTGAGTAACAACCCTAAAATTTTAAATGGAAAGTGGGGTCGAGTGATATATCATTTGAAAGGACACAAAATTATCTTTCCAATGATACCAAATTTGTTGTATTTCACTCAAACATGTAGGTATTATGAAGAAAAACAACTACAACCCAGTAATTTGAAATGTGTAATTGACTTAGTAAAATCCTACTTCAGCAAGTGCTGAAAATGTGACCCATTTGCTTCCATATACAGATTTTGTTCAAAGCTATTCCTAACATTCTGTAGCATATCAGGTGTTATACTTCTGCACTCTGCTGTAATACGTTGGCGAAGATCTTCTATGGACTCGGGCTGCGTAGCAAAACATTTATTTTTCAAGTGTCCCCAAAGGAAAAAGTCTGAAGGCGATAAATCAGGTGACCTGGCAGGCCATTCGATGGGGCATCTCCTACCAATCCACCGTCCAGGAAACCGGTCATCTAAAAACTCTCTTACCGGAGCAACATAGTGAGGAGGTGCTCCATCTTGCTGGAAATGAAGCCGATTATAATAATGATTTTGGTCATTTTAAATTATTTCTGTTATGAAAGAATCAATTGTATCTTCAAGATGTTCAGGTAGACCTCACCAGTTGAATTCCCAGGAATGAAAAGTGGCCCTACGATATGACTACCTAATATGCCACACCAGACATTGATTTTTTGAGGGTACTGGGTATGGACCTCTCTTTCATCATGTATGGATGGATATGTGATTAAATGTTCAATGATTCCAATTCTCAACTATCATTAGGTTTTCATTGGGATAAAAACCTCTTGTTGTCAGTGAAAATGAATATTAGCAGTTGTTACATTTTGTTCTAAATTGAAAGAGCAGACAAGTGTTGGTGTCTTGTTCCAAGCAAATATTGTTGCCTTATGCCTCGCAGTGAAAGCTGCATTGAAAACGAATTTTGTTCGGCGATCGATGTCGAAGTTTGGATTCGTAACTGACTGCCTTAGGAAGTCTCGTTTATCTTTAACATTTAAAGATTGATTTGTCTGTCGATCCCATGGTTTCTCTGATCTGTTTCTCTGATCTATTCCAAATCGTTATTGATACTAAATATGATAGAGATTGAAAACAATATATTATTCTGATTCATTTCAAGTGAAATTCTTGAAAAATTCAGTTGTTTCGTTGTCTTCCATAATAGTAATGCACGTTGAAAGGTAATCCCCGTTATCCTTACCCTGCACAAATTTTGACTTCTTAGGGTTTTAGTTCGTAGGGGGCGACAACTGGTTGACGAAAAAAGGGATTTTGAACACATTCATTATAGTTATCATTAAAAACTTTGAATTTGATCTCACCTTTTTTTTTGTAATTTCTAGTTACCGATTTAGGAAGCCAAAAAGTTTCTTAAAAAAAAATAATCGATAACAATACAATTCACGTGAAGGTTGTAGATTTGCGATGGATACTATGTTATCCCATCAACCCCCACTTCAGGGTTTTTGTAAATTATCCTTCCATTATACCTATTGAAAAAAGCAGAAACAATAAATAATTTTTTATTGAAACTTAACAAATAAATAAGTGATTCATTCGAGATTATTGTACATATGCTGAGTAGGCCATGTTCTGTGCTTCATTCAGGCTCCTAGCAGCATAGGGTCCGACTGCTGCAGATTCCCATGGTCCTGCAGCTGAGATATGAGCGGTAGAATGAGCACTGTCAGCTGCCAACTTTTGACAGAGCTGGAAGATTGCCAAACCAGTGGAAATAATGAAGGAGAAGAAGGCAAGTTGAAGACCATTCCAGGCCTTAAGTCCTAAGATTCCAATTGCGAGAGGAACTAGAGTAATGGCTTTGAGGAGAAGGAAGACGAGAATTGGGATGAAAATCTTCTTGAGTTTTGATTTCTTTCGTGCTGGAATTTCAAAATAATTCATATTTTAAAATGTATTACACAGAAAGCTAAAGTTAGAAAAAATCATATTGGGGATTTTATTATGGACGACATACGTTTCCCATTTCAATGTATGTGTGTATGGTGTCTTTAAGTCGCATATAGCAACAATGATTACAATCTCAAACTCCCGAGCAGTGTTATCTAAAACCTATTTAAATTCAATAGTTACTGAGTAACATTGGCATAACTTAAGTTTTCTATGAGAGACATTTTTTGTGAAGGACGTATGTCAAAAAAATTTGACCTATCACAACTTGAGGGAAAGTTAATAGTAGGAATGAATAAAGTTTTTTTGATTTTCAGATTCCATGTCTACTTGAGAGAAACAATTTACAATAAAGTGACTTTTTTGATTACCTTCAACTGTACTTCCAGATCCAAAGTTCAGTTTCAATCCAATTTCATCGTTGTCCAATCCTTTGGAATCAACAGTTATGTCACCAATAACTGGCACTGTGAACTTCACATCATGAGTCTTGATGAATTTCTCTACACCTTCTTCAAAATTTCCTTCTGATCTGGATGACAATTCGTTGGAAGAATAGCTATTACGTTTAACTTCCATCTCACCAAACTGAAAACGGCAAAATGATAAATATCTTCAATTTGAGTTGATAATTCCGGTGTGCAAAAAATATTTTGTCCTTGAATTAAATTGATACTGGTCGGATTCTGAAACATTTTATAGTTTTGAAAACTTATAATTCATGCTTTTCCACAAAAATTTGTGACTTTGAAATTTGTAAGCTTTCCAAAGATATTTTTTAAATTCTGGAAATGATGGGTGAACATACCGATATGTAATATATGTCGTATTGTAATAGGCAAATAATAATTTCAATATTGTAATGTCTAGAACGGATACAAAACTTGTTCAGATTTGAGATAACCTCATCAAAGGCTTTATTTTGGAAGATTCATTATTTTTGAACACGTTCTTCTAATATTTCTGAATTATGGAGTCCACATACTCTCACGAAGGAGTCATAACAGTTTTTATTGGTATTAAATAATACCTTTTGTTCTTCTATTATTCATTAATAACTACAATACTTGTTATGCACTGTTTGGAACTTTTGGTGTATTAATGAATATAACTGGTTCGATCTTCCTCTTGATGATGATCACTTGGTGATCGAAACACGTGTCGAGGTGTTAAATAACAGTTTGGTGCTGGAAAAAACTCCAGTAATATTCATCAACTACAATCTTAAGGCCAAGACTTTTTTTTGAAAATTATCACTTCAGATGGTTTTTAGTGGTTTCATACATCTCATGCTTCTCAAGTTTTATGCATAGCAATGGCAATAAGTAGGATTGGAACTAGGTTCAGTTTGAACTAGGTGGTTTTTCAATCAACATTCTGAAAATAATTTTATTTTTGTTGGTTGATTCAAAACAAACCAATATTTAGGCATTAATTACAAAAATCACCTCAAAACTGACTGTCCTGATTCTCAAGAGTATCTGTATCCAGAATTGATCGAAGTTATCAACTACTGAGATGAAATCATGTTTTTCATGGAGTAGTACAGGTTACATATCGAAAAGACTTTATCAATTGAAAATTATGTTTTGTTCCCCAGTGATAATCTTCAGTTAAAAGTTAGTCTGTTTGAAAAAAAAAGTCTATTCAGTTGAATCATTCAATACCTATTAGTCAGAACTTTCTACCGTCAAATTTTATTGTTGACCGGATTAAGAATTCGGAATGGAAGCACAATATAATTGCAGACCATTAAAACATTTTTTCCATACAAAATAATTATCTCATCAGTATTAAAACACTTTGTTATTGTACTTGAACGAAGTGACATGTAATCGTATATATTCATAATATGCCTGATATCCTCTTTTCCTTTAGGCGATTTTTATCTTCTTTTTGTTTTTTCCAATACGAAATGGTTAATATAATTTTTCAATGACCATTGACAAAAAGCTTCAACTATATAATTATTCATTGTTGAGTTAGTAGGCGATGATCTTTATATCTTCTACCTGATTACATTTGACTAGATACATCTTCGAGGATAATCGTAGATAGGCAAATTCATTACTTTACGTTTATGAATTATTGTCATTTGTAAATAAACCTTGAAAATTCACTAAGGATTTGTTTAAAAAATGACCACTTTTTGACAGCTCACGACCAAAGTTTATGACAGTGGTTAACTAAAATATATTATTGTTGGTTACTTTCGGAACAAGATGGTTGATTCAATGGTCAAGATAGTAGCTAAATCATTGTCGAAGTGGAAACTGGAAATCATACACTGTGACCATATATTTCCCAATATATCATTCTCATTGTAGTTAAAATGAATAGTGAAGTTGGCCGCTTCTTTTCAAGAGTTACTTTCAGTTCTGACGGATTTCATAACCTGACGATAAATACCTTCAGTTCAGTCTGTTATCATTCACACTCGACAAAACAAATGGATTGGTGATTGTAGAAATGGACCTGAGTCATTTTTGAGGCTTTGAGTCGAATAGTTTTGTGTTATCTAAGGGTAGATGCACATTTTAGTATGAAAAGGGAACTCAGTTTTTCATTTTGTGTGTTTTCATCTATAATATTTTTTAAATGATAGAAATAAGCGATAGAACAGAACGTAATTTGAATTTGATGAACAGAAACAAGTCGTCTTTCAATATTGTTAGTTTCAAGTTTTTCACCTTAGGTTTGATAGTTTTTTTATATACTTTTTGAATATCTTTCTTGATACTCATTTTTATCATCTGAATAAAGTGCATGATGGAAACCGAAATTGTTTAGTGCTAAAAAGTACCTAACTGAGCCATTGAAAGTTCAATTTTTTTGTTCAGAGAATATTAATGAGAAAATCATATTCTATTCATTCAGATATGTGAAAAATAAGAACACATATTTTAACTATTCAATAACTAAAACTTGTTGGTTCAGATTTTTTTCTGTTTTTCCGAACCATCAGAAAAGTAACAGAGGTACCTTCCAACAATCGTTCGTTCAAATATTCCAAATTTAAACCCATCATCTGCCAGTTTTCACTTTCACCACAACAGTTCATATCAGTTCGAATTTTGACGTTTGGTACACGTGTTTTATATCAAATCGGTCTTTCAGAAAGTAGTACCACAATAGTGGTGATTTTAGAACCACTAAACCACATTCGTGGTAATTTTTGGAACACAACTCCTTACAAAATATATTCGTAAAAGTCACTCTTGATCATTGTAGTGGCCAGTCCGTTTCGAAATATAGTATAATTTCTAATGAAAAACAAGAATAAAAAGAATTCGGACGATGAAAACGAGTATACCTCACCAGTGGTTTGTAATGTGACGAAGACATTGATAATTTTGTCACTTGATAACAATATGACAGTAGTGCAGTAGTTGTTTGAACTCTTGGTTTAAGTACCAGTGATTGTTTGTTCAAAACACATCATCAGCAGTTTTTTTATTTTTTCCAAACACTCAATATTCAAATTATTTGAAATTTAATGAAATATTGGAAATAGCAACCGTTCGTTACAAACTCCTTTTTTGAGTGATTGAAAAAGTATTATTCTACTCCTGAGAATGATTTATGACGTTCGCCATCGGTACCCATTGACAAAGTTCATTTTTCGCTCGTTGAATAATATACTACCTATAATGACATTTTGATCATTCATGTTATTAATGAAAAAGGAATATTTTGAATAAATTTTGTATGAACGTAGGTAGATGGAACTTTTTCATTCATTATAATCGATCTATGTTTTCTACTAGAATTATGATAACATTTCATTACAGAAGCTGTTTTTATGAACACAAATATTTTCAAAATATTTTTGGTATTTTGGGTATCTAGAAAACCGGTGAATTCTAAGATTACATGAAATGTCATTTGATTTTTTTAAATTAATTGAATAGTTATAACAAATTTTCGAATCATACAACTGCGATAAATTCACAAACCTTGAAATAGTCTTTCTGCAATATCGTATCCAAAAAGGCAAAAGCCTTGTACTGGAAACACGCTATTGAGTCTTCGTCAGCACATGCAGACCTCATCTTCTCGATATGAGATTCCAAAGGGGTGCCTTTCCAAAATGCGGGCTTGGAAGGCAGTGCACTAGCCAAAACCACTAAACTCAGACCAAAAATAAACTTGAACGCCATTGCGTATTGCGGGCGAAAAGATACAACTGAATGAGTGGAATAATTAGGTACCGTTGGCTTTAATACTTCCACAGCTGAAAGTGGATACGGACAGAATATTAATTGTCTAAGTGTATTCGGTATTGAATTGAAAAGTCTCATTGATTTGGATGGTGGATACATCCTGATTGGAAAATATTTTCGTCATTATAGAAAATTTGCGATCAAAATTGAAAAACTTGAGTGAAATAGACTTTTATTCAACAACCATTTTAGAAAAATGGAATGTTGGTCGAAGTTAAAGAAGTGTTTTTTCAGCAGTAAAGCAGCAGTAGTCATGTTAGGATGTTGAGAATTTTATAAAATTCATTTGTTGATGTTTTTTTTCTGTATAATAATCAAGGAAAATTTGAATGAAACAAACAACAAAATGATTGAGTAAGCCTTAAATATGATGATTGTTCAATAATAGATGGTCGTCCTTTTTGAAATAAATTTCTAAGCATTCTGTAAGAATAAAATCCACTATTTTGGAGAACGTTCTGCCATCTGTGACTTATATTTTCGTTCCAAATCTGACTCGAGCGAGTGTATCCGATGTTATGTCATTAAAAAAATAAGAATTGTATCGGAATAGGCAAAATTCCTCGTGAGTTTTAAAAATTGTACATGACCATATTATTAATTTTTTCTGAAGTTCAATAAATTTATCTTCAACCCATGGTGAATTTTTAAAACTGATAAAAATTCCTCTACTATATTCACTTAACAAAAAACAGAAAAAACCAATTAAAATCAGATACTGAATATTTAAAGTCTCAGAACGATGTATATACAATATAGTTATTATTTTTGTGGAAAAATTCAAATTGATATCGCGGTCTCAACATTATTTCGCGAAGAAAATATTGATAGAATTTGCCACAAAATCTCATTTATACGTATTTAGGTAATGGAATTTATATAGAATGGCTACGCTTTTGACTGGCTGACAATGATTTTATCCTGAATAAAGTTGATTATTTGGACATTCCCACCTGAAAAACAAAAATATACATTTCTCTGATGAAAATACAGTTTATTTAGGAGTACCTCAAAGATCAGCCCTGAACGCTTGATTTCTTTACCTTTCGTAAATGATTTTATTAACCATTTGATTATCGGAAAAGACGCCATGTTTGTATACGATAGCGTATGGAGAATATGGAATTGGCCAGAAAACCATCTGATTTTATATAGTGATAAAAAAAGTTCAATCGAATTTTCAGATGAGGAAAAAAATCATTAAATATTTTTATATCAAGTGCAGCAACGACGTAGATTTCTGTTTTTATTGTCCAATACCCTGAATTCCTCAAAAATTTATTCACCGAAGGCAATTTTAACAAATACTCAGTAGTTAAAAAAAAAATAACCCACACTGTGGAAAACATTGAAAATATTTTTCATTAAGTGCGATTATATGTGATAAAATTGGTCGATATTTCATAAATTCATAACTTTTCAAGTCACACTTCACTGTGAGATTTCCACAAGACAGTTTACAAAACCGCAACACGTGATTCGCTATACAATAACTTTATAATGAGCTATTGTATAAGCTGAAAAATAGCTTTCATAATTGAATAACAACAAGAATTTTAAAAACTGTTTTGCTTTGGACACCTTTGTGATAAAGTGGAAAGTCTTACCAGGAAAATTAACGCGTTTCCATAAAATAATATTATGAGCATGCGACAGAATTGAACCCTATTAAGCTTTGTATTAGCGGCTGGTCTTCAATCATTTTCATCACTTTCAGCGCCGTGTATGCACCCTATGTTCTTTCAGTAATAGTTTAGCGATAGCAGAGGTGAGTTCAGGCAACTGTACAAAAACCCACAGAAGCAAGTTCATATATACTAAATTATTTTGCCAGTAGATAAAAATTCCGTACACCACCCAGGTACCAACATTATCATTTGCCTCATGTGCTTGTAACTATCTGTAATTAGATTATTGAGATAAGTTCCAACCACAAGTTTCATATTTGAGTTTCAGTATTTCTTTGCAGTTCATGCATTTACATTTCTACAAACATTCCTAAAAGTGTTTTCGTTTCATTATCGGTTTTTCTATGCGGCTGTCAATATTGTTTTTTGTTAGGTTCATCAGAACACAAACCCATTTTAGTTTCTTGTGAATGAACAATAAGTGTTCAAGATCAAATGGATAGAAATGCCTTAAGACCACTCAATAAAATATCAAAGACTCGTTACACCTCTGAGAATAGACGAAAATGAGGAATTATTCAATATTTCCACGAATGAAATGCCTGCCACACCTAGTGGATTCCGCTAAGAATGCTTTTCTTCTTATATTTTCTCATGGTCCCCTTTATATTTGCAAAATATCGATTATTTGATGGTTTTTCAAACAGATTGACCAAATCAGTCCCAAGCAATTAGGTTCGTAATTAGATGATCATATAAACCACTCATTAGTCAAGTACTCAAAATTATCATCTTATTGAGATATCATGGAATATACATGTATACATGGATGTATACATTTTTCTCAAGAATAAATTATTTAGTACAATGAAAATCACAAATATGTCTCGTATCGGATCATTATCTTCAAGCTAATGGAAAAATATATAATCCAAGATAACGTTATTTCACGTCAAAAATGCATGTGAGTAATTATTTTTATTATTCATGATGAATTATGTATTAGTGAACGTCATGAGATATTGGATATTATTTTTTCCATGCCTAAAATATTTGGTGAAATTTCATAATTCATTTTCTTATGATTTTTACAATGAAACTATTAGTGAATGTGAATAAAGTTGTTTTAAGGCCATATTGAAGATATCATTTCAAGAATTAACTCAATACTCAATACTTAACATCGCCCACTAAACATTATGTGTAACAGTAACATAATTTATTTATCTATTGAAAACACTTTTTCCTCACCAACTTCTTGGTCAATTCCAGAAAAAAATTCAATTTCAATTATTATTTATCATTTTAAGATGCAGTCAAGCACTGGTCCACAATTCACTGAAATAAAAGTAAAAACAGCTGATATGCAACCATGATTATGGTGAGAAGTTGATTTTTCAGAAAATCTGTGATTTATTTTCTCCATTCAATCTCCGTTTTTCATTGTTGATATAATTTTTGTTGTTGTCAGTTATTCGGTATTTTGTTATTTTGATAAATTGATAATGAAATTCTCTGTGGATTTCCATTCCAAAATAAATTTTTGCACTCGAGGTACAATTTTGACATAATTGTGATTAGTTTTATAGGTGAAATGACATTATTTTGCGATAATGTTTCAAAATGATGCCATCTTCTCTGGAAAAATAATTTCAAAGATTTCAAAAGCTGCTTCCCAAGTAGAAGCAAGTTACTGCTAATATAGAGCTATGTAAATAGGCAAATATATCATTTATAAAATATAATGAGATAGAGAATTTGTTGAACAAAAATATTTTAGGTGGGTTCTGAAATTATTCCCAATTCAAACACGCCCCCTTAATTTTTAGTGTTTCTAGAGTATGTTGTACACTCCTATTATATGAATTTCTGTTTGCAACATTAACAGAAGTAAATGATTGTGAATGGTCATACATTTGAAATATATCTATTTGAAAAGAGCTCTTCATATACAACTTTCTGGCATCCAGTGCGTCATCAACAACAAGCCAATGTAATGCAAACTTGGAATTCGTATAATGGATAATTTTTTGCTTATTTGGAAGAGTAAAAAATCATGTTTTTCGGCAGAAAATTTCTTTTGATTCATAGATAATACGTACTTCGTTTTCCAAAAATATCTAATGTTGTACCAAAGTTATCATAGGAAATATTCAATTAGTTCGAGAGAACTTTGAGTCACATGTTTATGTTGATTTTCTCAAAAAGATATCGAAATCGTCCCCCTAAATATTACCTGAGAATCAATAAGAAACAATATATTTATAAAATCCACATGGCAAGTGATCTTTCGAGGTCCTTACTTTAAGCGTTATTGTCCATAATGCATTTCCAGGGCATCCCACGATTTATGATTATCAATTTGACTACTATCCGGAATATTATAAAGTATATTTCCAGTGCCTGACTTCGAAGTGCTGGAACCATAGCTCCTAGAATGTCATTGGTGCATGGCACACAATGACTGCCCGTCGAAAGTTAAAGCCTTCACAGTGTTACCTGGTGATGATCTCGTGGCTGCCTTTACTGAAATGGGGGTACTTTTCCTAAACGTGGTCGTTTGATTCCTAATGTGTTTCGAATTGGCTTGTTCACTTATTTCTCAAATTTTTCGTTCATTCCTCCTGTTGTTTGATCATGAAACCGTTTTTCTTACCCAATATTCTAATAACAATACTAAAATACGTCTACAAATAATTTTGAATATCTATACAGTGGTGCATTAATTCAACTACAGTCTGATTCACGGTGGATGGCACATTAGACGTTTCTGGTGAACCAGACAACGGATCACTTTGAAAATTCAATGGAGGGCATATTCGGACATTCTCTAGCCAACTAAAATATTTTCGACAATGCGGTGTTGCCGCTTCTATTAGAAAGCAGTAGCAACTTTGATTTTTCAAATGGAACACTCTGTATATAATATTATTTTTGGAATCTCCAACAATTGCCCGACAACTTTTCTT